CGGATGAGAAAACCTGTAACCACTTACTACTGCGGTGTCCGAAAACCCATAGCTTATGGATTTCTGTGTTTGGGGTGTTGGGGTTGAATTGGGTTATGACTGAGGATGTGAGTAGTGAATTGTGGGCTTGGGCGGGTTTCTGTAAAAAAAATAAGTATTTATTTCTTATTCCACTTACTATTTTTTGGGTTGTGTGGAAGGAAAGGAACGCTAGAGTTTTTGAGAGCATTGAGACTAAGTTTATATATGTTAAAGATAGATAGATACATATTTTTGAATCTATTTTGTTAGGTCATGACATTAATGCTTGGGAGGATCTTGGAATGGTCATGGACCATTAATTGGCTTGTAACTAGTTGGTGTATTTGGGTGATACTCCTTTGGTATCTTTGTGAATAATATTTCTTCTCTTTTCTTTCAAAAAAAAAAAAGATATATCATGATTTTCCCTTTGATCGCTTAGAAAAACAAGTACTTCAAGGCACCTCAAGGCAAAAATTTTAATCACAAGCTCTCAGGCTTCACATTTCACATTCTTTACCCTTGTTAGTTGGTTTATAAATTGTAGTCTTCGGATCCAAAAATGGAACTAGACCTGGATAGTGGTGGCAGCTGCTCCATATAAAATCTGAAATCAAATATAAATTGTATTTATAAAACTATTTATTATTTCAGTTAAGTTACTAAAATAGAAAGATAATGTTAAGAGTAAGAAATGTGTGAAGAACAACATTGATTTATAAAAATAAAAGGATGAGATGCTCCTTCTATGATTTTATTAGTTGAGTTCTATAACTAATTAACTAAATGTGAACCAATAGATCATTTTTGGAAAAATTAATAGTAAGATCTATAAAAAAATCGTCTGATAGTAAAAATTATTAGACCGGTCCCTCTTGGATTTTAACCATCTCATATCCTCTTGTGATGCACCTTGCTTCAGTGGTTTGCACTAACAATGAATTATATATTTTAAAGTAGGAGGACTAAATACAGTAAAGATGGTTTGAAGTCCTGATATCAAATCCGCTCATGATTATGCACGCACAAGGTCGTAATTGGTCCTTAATAACCTTATGCCTTTCAGGTGAGAATTGGAAGAACTGCAAAGGGGTCCTTTCTGGCTTAATAAAAGAACCACAGGAATAGCAAGAACCTGGGCTTATTAAAAGTCCAGTGAACTTGTAAGTGTATGAAAATGACAAATGGGATCTACATATAGGCTTATCATGTTTTCGAAGTAGCAGTTTGATAAACTATTTCATTGTCTTTTCTTTTCCCTTTCCCCTGCTCACTTTGGAAAAGCAATCTCTTTGTCTTGGCTATAATTTGCTAGTTTTTTCATCTGTGTATGTTTGCATGTCTTGTCAGCTAGGGGGGAATTCAAAGATGAAGAAGTTGTCTCTAATTCCCAACTTGGGGCTTTTTTTGCTGCAATGACAATTCGTGCAAATGCTTTTCCGGAGGCAACTCAATGGAGTGAAGGAGAAAGGCGGGCGATGAACATTTTCTGGCCACTTCTCGCTCGTGCATTACCACCAGATGTAATTTTCATTGCAGATCCTGAAGGCTCAATTATGGGAACCAGAAGTTCAATTGGACCTCAATATGTTGGCAATGGAACCAGTGAAATGAGATTGGTTGGTGCCTTGAGAGAAGTTCTGGCTGGAGGTCACCTTGGATATGAGGAAGTCCAGGCTGTCCTGAGAGATGTTCTTCCACTGACAACAGAAGACAGCGAATCCATTGGAGTAAGTGACTCATTGCTTTCAGCATTTTTGATTGGTCAACGTATGAACAGAGAAACAGATCGTGAACTTAAAGCCTACTGCCTTGCATTTGATGATGAACTCGGTATAGGATTACATCCAGTACTCAATAACATTACCTTAAGTGAATGAACATTTAAGTTTGACCATATGAAGTATTTTTTGTTTGATATGCTTATATATTACATTATCAGGTCCGCCACCGGTTGCTGATGTTCAATCATTGACTCATTATGGTGACCCTTATGATGGAAACACACGTTACTTTAGAAGCACATTATTTGTTGCTACTGTTAGATCTTGCTGTGGTGAATCTTCATTGCTTCATGGTGTGGAGTGGATGCCACCTAAGGTCAGTTACTGATCTTATTTATTGTTTTGGCAAATGAAATATTCCTTTGGTCTCATTGATCCTGGTCCCTAGGAATATAGCTACCGGGAGGGGCTAGTTTGTGATATTGGTATTATGCATCTGAGCTTCCCAAGCGAAGTTCATAGAGAACTAACTCCAACATCATTTATCTTTTTTATTGTTTTGGCAGATGAAATATTCCTTTGTTCTCATTTTTCCTAATCCTTGATAATAACTGTTGGGAGGGGTAGGTCTCTGATATTGGCATTATATATTTGAGCTTCCAGAGAGAAGATCATACAGAACAAACATCAACATTGTGAAAAAGCATCTCTTGACTTGTGCTTGTTTTGACTTATTGTCTTCCAGCAGTGGAATATTAGCTCCAACATAAATCTCCCCTGCATTCTGAAATGTCAATGTTGGGAACATCTACTATTGTATATTTTTTAGTCCCAATATTTTAATATTTCCTCTAAGTTATTTGAGTAGTCTTGTCTCTCCAGGGGGGTGTGACTGAAGAGCAGATGCTTAAGTTTATGGGAGCAAACACAAGCTTGTCAGTGTTGCAGGCAAAGAAACTCCTTGAGGTATTTGTGAACCACAAGTTGCTGAACCGCTTCCCTCCTTAACAATATTGGTATATTTAAATTCAATTTTTTTTCTCAGGATGAGGAGGTAGGTTTTGCCTATATAAGTCAACGTGAAGCTCGACCATCTATGTATGAAAAATCTATCCAAACTTGTTGAACAAAGCTGGATGTGACGAGTTATATTTACCTCATACAAATATACTGAAGCTTCTAAATGTTTACTAACATATGCAGATATTCATTAATTGGGTTGAGGGAACATATAAAAAAACGTCCTCCATTGGCAACAACGGAGAAGGTTCAACAGTTTGTCCGGGTGAGCCTTCTCATGGTTCAGCTTGGGGTTACGAGTTAATAGATCTTGATTTTTTTTCTATTTTTTGATAGATTTCTCATAGTCATTTGTCAGGATGAGCCTTCTTATCATTCAGCTTAAGGTGGTTAGTTTTTTGTTTTTTCTTCTGAAGGAATTCTCTGAGTCATTTGTCAGGGTGAGCATTCTCATGGTTCAGCTTAGGGTTACCGGCACTATATCTGGATTGTTTTCTTTTGCTTCTGAAAGAATTCACCATATCAGGATTAGAGTAATAGTTGATACAAGTGAACTTTGTTTAAATACTTTACTATTTCTTGTATGATAAGTTTCCCCCAAACTACATAGCTGAAAACTTGTGGATGAATACTACTTGGTGAATATTTTAGGATTTTAAAATGAGAACTTGGTTTGTGATTTTCTTTTGTCTCACCACAGGCTCGGGGAAAAGAAGCAATTGTGGCTGGGTTCTATCATGAAGGTTATGAGCAGCCATTACTAATGCTTATGAAGAGAAGAGGTGTTCATTCTGGTTTAGTGGTGAAGGTTGTCCTTTCCTCTTCTAACAGAATTTCATTGCAAGATTTCTCAGATAATAATATTTATCCTGGTCTGGGAATTTTGTAACTTAAGACTTGAAATCTGATTCGAATAGCCCTGACACATATTTAAAGGGGGATGTCAGTATCCACAGTAAAGTACAAAGAACACACGTATTAATTGCCTCTTTGTTCTGATAATTTAGGGTGAAGAAGGGTCCCTGTCGATGACAACAAGATTGCGATCAATAAATTCATCGAAAGGACTTCCTGTAAACTACTGTTCAGGATTTCGTTCTTCAAGTGTTGAGTCTGCACTTGAAGCTGATGGTTTGTAGAGTTCAATTATATTTTTCTTGTATCCTGATAGTTTTATTTTACTAGCATTCATGATGTCAGTATGTTTGTACATCTGATCATTTAATATTTTGTAATTATCATTAACACGTCAAACCTGGGCTTGAAATTCTGGAATTGCAGGGGTGTCGCGTCAAAACTTTAGTATTGAGGTGAATGCTAGCGACTATGGGTTTGAACCCACTGATACTCCAAGAACTGATAGATCGGTAAAATTCTTATATCCCTTGTGATTCTCTTCCGTGTTTTCCTTTGCCGGATTTACCATTCTCAGTTGAATTCCGTAGTAATCTATGTCTTGGCACCGTATTGGGCCCAACATTTTGTATTAGCTTCCTCACTTTCCAATAATACTTCTTATTTTCTCTAAAGAAAGAAGGAAGGGGCAAAGGAAAGAGAAGAAGCTCAACATTCTGAGTAGAAAATTTCTTACAAAAAGTCTTCAATTAGTTTTATGTTAAAATATGGTTCCTATAATTACTAATGAAGCCTGATTTTGTATCTTCTGAAAGAAATACAACCTGACATGTTTCTTCATTTCCTGCTTTCGAGGATTTTTGAGATATTTATGGTAATATAAGGATGCGCTTCCAGAACACTGTGGTCCATGACAACAAAATTTGTAATGCATATGCATTTCCCCTGTTGAAGCTTGGTGGGGCAAAGTTTCATAACCATGCTTTGCGGAAACACCTATCTGGAAAAATAATAATAATAGTAATAATTGTAACAAACATCTGCCTTTACGTTTGCAATCAAAACTATTGATTGGTTTCTTTATCACAATACCAAATCCCATAGTGCACTAGAAGGATCCCAATTTGTGATTTTCTACACATACTGGATATTATATAACTCTGTTTTTCTGATAAAAACATCGTCTAGAAATCTTGTTTGGCTGGAAGATGTCTCTTTTACTCTTTGAGTGTTTGTAGATCAGTTATGTGTATATCAATGTAAACATCTATTACCTACTTTGACTGCAATCCCAGATTTCAAAGAATATAGAGCTTGGTTTGGCTGCACTCCGGGGTGAGAAAGGACCAGCATATGATCGAATTGTCTTAAATGCTGGAATGGTGGATCACTTGTTGAGATGTGAAGGCGCGGAAGATGTATCTTCAGCCATGGATAGAGCCCGAGAGGCCATTGATAGTGGTAGGGCACTCAAAAGGTTATTAGACTACATAAAGATCTCACACAAAGTGAAGTAGTTGAAAATTGAGCAAGCTTCATTTTACATACCATACTTGTAGGTTCTGTAATTTTGTCATTAACGAATTAGTAACCAGTTTGGTCAAGGTCTGTTTTCTTTTTTTTTTTTTAAATATTCTTTTCAGAATTTGTTGTGTAAAGTTTGGTATGACACTCACGCCATATATAAAGAGAGTGTAATTTTGTGGAGTCATACATAAAAACTATGTTTGGTTCAATTTGTATGTTATAGAGCATTGTTAGTTAGTATAAAATTATATTCTTAATATGTGAAATTTAATCATAACCTTTATATTTAATTTATGATTCCTTAACCAGAATTTTTGAAGATGAACGTCTAATTTCTTTACGAATTTTATCGGCTTCCTACTGGGGGAATGCTGACAGGTTCTAAATAGAGTTTTTCTTATGCATGAGCCAAAATTTGGTTTCAACATCATCCTACGTTTGCAATCTGCCATACTTTTTGCATTGCGAGGGATTCGGTTTTGTAGATAACTTTGATTTTGACTAATAAAGTACAAATTAAAATTTTGATACTTATTTAGCCTAAATGAAAATGTGTTTCTATTGAGTAAGAAGACGAAAATAGAAATTGTTTTAAGCATGTTTATTCGATTAATATTTTAAAACTTAAAAATAGAAAAAAATTTCGTTCTGTTAATTCTTTTATGTGAATTTGCTTTATTTTAGTTTAATCCATCTTTTTTAAATTCTTAGGTTTTTGCATTGGTCATTGTTTTCATCTTTCTTTATCTTTAGCTTTGAGAACTTGAAAGTTAACAAATATCTCACACCTTCCTGCCTTATATAACTTTGACCCATACTTTTTTATTTTGAGACTAGTTATAGTATTAGAGTTTAATTTTATTTCTAATAAAATTATCGATGACTCATATTTAAAATTTCTTTATGCATAAAAAAAATAAATTTAAAAAAATAATAAATCAAATTTAATGGAAACTTAATTTTTAAGAGGTCGCTCTCTATAGACATTTTGCATATCACAACCACATTGGCTAAAAAGGTATACAAATTGGCCAAATATGTCTTTTGCATGGAGAGAAGAAGAGGAGACAATTGGTAATATGTTTTGAGTTTACGAGATAAGCACAAAAACATTGAAAATACTCCCTACTTAAAAAAGGAGGACCTTAGCTTTTACAAAGTTTTTATGTTTGACTAAAAGATTATTTATAATAAAGAGGAAGAAAATCATAATACTCAAGATGAAGGAAATCAATGTATTAAAAGTGTGTTAAAAAAAGAAAACAAATCGTGGTACTAAAAAGAAATAAAGTTAGGGAGTCAAAGATGAAATAAATATGGGTACTAGAAATGAGACAATCAACTAAAGAATAAAATTC